GGGCTACTATATTTGGGCAAAAATGGCCGCTCCCAGACTCAGTGATCGCGATGAAAAGTATGATTTTATTTCTTTCTGATTAACGCTAAATTCATTAAATCACCACAAACTTAGTTTTAGGTATAAATAATGATCCATTGATTATTCCTTGCTGACCGGACTTCTCCTATAAAGCCCGGTCCAGATGTGTCTGAAAACAGAGATGCATGCAGACCTGCTGGGCTCTCATCTTGTCAGCTCTCTGGTTCTGGTGGTAGATCCGGCTGAAGTTGGACACGATGACCGGCACTGGGAGGGCGATCACCAGCACGCCGCTGAGAGAGCAGATGGAACCAAAGATCTTCCCTGCGATGGTGCTTGGAACCATGTCACCGTACCTGCAGCAGCAAAACACAACGTCAAGAACCAAACAGGCTCTGGGCTGGACCGGCAACATCAGAACCTGTCCGTTTCAATTCTATTCAGTTAATTAATATAGCGCCAGTCAGTTCAGGAGTCCAAACTAAAGAACTTTAGTTAGTGAGTGAGCAGATTTCAGTTATAATCATTTAAATAATAATCAATGATTGGTTTTAGTCGACCTCAACTTCTACTACAACTTCCAGTTAGTTTCCTAAATATTCATAATCTGCAGATAAAATTGCTCAACAGCGAGGATCTAAACTGTAGAGTAGGGATCAGCGCGGGACGGTGGAGCAGATCTGAGGCTGATGAGGTGCGGCTCTCCGCTCATCCACCTGCTGCTGCAGATTAACTCAGAGCTTCAGGCTCATCTGAGCTGCTAATCCTCACATCTCCACCTTCAGCTCTTAGACCTGCTGCTATTTCTGGAGACGGGTTTGATGATGAGCGGCTGATCTGTTTGTGGAGTTTCATCCAGGATCAGAAACTTTTGGGTTCACCAAGTTCTTCATGTTCAGTAGAAGTTCTGTTTCGGGTCAGGAAGCCTCAGTCTTTGCTGTAATCAGCTGGACAATCATTAGAAGCAGATAAATCTGGATTATTTTCTTCGGTTTATTCTGATGGACATCTGAGTGTTGAGATGTTGGCAGCTCTGCACCTCCAAGGAGACCATCTACCTCCTCACCAGCAGAACCTGTTATCTCCTGATCTCCACCAGGCTGCATCCACTGGTCTCCATGGTAACAACAATGTATTTTTGGGTCAGAACCTGGACCTAGCTAGCCTCGTGAGACCATCCTGATCTCGCGAGTTTTCAAGGTTTCGCTTTTTTTCCCACTTTTCCCCGATGTATTCCAGCATCCAGCTGCCATGCACGTGGGCATTGTCAGTTTCACTA